TGAAGTAAGAATTCCTACCAGCTTAGGACATTGTGATCATGCGCCAATGTTCCAAAGATGCTACAGCAATTATCGGGAATAGACAGAGGAGGAATATATTCACAATTTCCTATGTAAATGACAAGGCTTGGTATCTCGCTTTTTAATCCGTTTGGCAGAGATGATGGAAGCGGGGACCGTAAATGGTTTAACAGACACTAAAATAACTTTTTGGTATGCCCCCGGTTAGAGAGATGCGTAGGGTGTAATCCTGCATCTTCCTTCTTGCTTGGAGCTGTAAAGGCCGAAGCGATTTTGGCCAAGTTCAATAAAACACGCCAGTCGTTTCTAAGCTGCGCCGACTGACGTCATTTGGAAATGCCAAGTGAAGTTAAGTCTTTTCCCACTAGGTCTCTCCAGCGCTCAAATAATGAAGAATTATTCGGTATTCGATCTCAAAAACGGTAGTTTTAATCAATTAAGCTTCACTCATTTTGCGTTTTTGTGACAGCTGCAAGGCGGATATCGTGTTCAAACCAAATTTTGTATGCAATTCTCATGGCATCGAACTCATACCCTGACCCATATCCAGGCTTGAAACTGTAAAATTTACATACTGTAAGTATTCCCGTTTGATTGACCTTAATTCGTTTACACCATTATTTTAAACAATAACTCGATTAGAAACGAGCCCAATCAAACCGGATATATGATTTATACATACATACATGCATTCCTCCGCAAAACATTCAGTTAAGGTACTTATCAATCTGACCTCGTATTTTGCCTCTATTCGCCATTGTGAACAATTTCTTGTAAAGGTTAAAACGCTTGAAATTAAAATATCAACGTAAAGTGACGCCGTATTTCGCACGGCTGCCACTTAACTGCAAAAGCAACAGCAATAAATAAGAAATAAAAGCTTCACTCGACCCAGACATTGAGCATAGCGGCTCCAGCAATCAAAATTTGTTTAGTTATACATACATATATAAATATATAGATGTGATGATGCGAGTTGTTTATGCCCGTACATATTAGCTCTGATCCAGTACTCGATGAACTTACAGGTTTTTACACGAACTTGCAGAAAGTTACAGGAAAAATTATGCCATACTTCAAATTCCTCCGAAATCCTGTAAATGAGAGCGATTTTTGGAGAGTTGTGTAGATAGATGATAAGTGTCACTGGTTGACGTTTTTAAAGGAAAAATTATTTTTTTTGTTCCCGTACTCTTTGTTGTTACTCACTTTTTACTCTCACTTCAGAGAGTAATATTGCGGTTTGACATTTTTAAAGGGTTTTACACGAAAAGTATTGGATCGGAGCTGTTGTTAAATAAACAGAGGCAATTTTGAAATTTTTCAGGAGGCAAAAATTTTTTAAATTTTCGTAGAAAGTGCTTTCAGAGCTAATGTAGAGGTACCAATAAAACTCGTATATTTCAGGCGGTGGTGAGTTTTCGTTAACACGAAAATCCCATAAGATAGGTCGTGTCAGCTAACAAGGTCTCCGATATTACATCGGTGGGTAGTTGAACCATAAGTTATGGCTTTTAATTTTTTCACTTCATAAAAGCTCTGATCCAATACTTTTCGTGTAAAATCCTATAAAAATGTCAAACAACAAAAAACAAAAAAAAACCTTGTTTCTGTAAAAACGTCAACCAGTGATCGCTTTCATGATTTTACCAGAAGAAAAGGTTCGGGTAAAATCTTGCAACTTCATTCTCTACACAACTCTCCAAAAATTGCTCTCTGTAAATGAGAGGGCCATGTTAAATTCGCCAATCGCAAACCAGTATTGGGTCTAAATGTACTACAAGCGCACCAGTTCAGAACTAGAGATTTCCCCACAGGGATACTTTTATACACAACGATTTTTTTGCACTTCTACGTATTTGTGCTTTTAACGCTCTCGAGGTTATTATTGCTGTGAGGAGTTTTATGTTGTCAACGCTGGGTACTGCTTAACTTCTCGTGATTTATGTACGCTTCTTATCGTGAATTCCCACCGCGCTTGTGCTTTCCCAAGGTGATGATGCGTGCCTTCAAACTATTTGGCGTTATTTTTTGCTATCTTTTCTTTACATTTAGATTTAGAGATCTACGATCAGTTTTGTGTTTGCTCTCTGGTGGCACATTTGCCTTTGTTGCTTTTATGGTCAAATTTAAATGGGTTTCTGTCACTTTTCGCGTGTGCGCATGCTTAGTAACTTTTCATTGCATTTTACTATTGTATTTGAAATGGCTAATGGAGAATGATTTTATACACGAGTGCACTTAAAATATAATATCAAATTTTTAGGTAAAACCGTTTTTCTCAAATTTCGCTTTTTAACAGAGTCAACCGTCATACAGAAGAAAAAAGTTTGCAATTATCAACCCAGCGCACATATGAGTATTTGTGTGATATAATTGGAAAAAAATATATTTTGTAGTTTATTATTAAAAAACAAGTAATTAAAAAAAAATCTTTTTTAAGACAAGCTTTTTTCAGTGGTAAGAAAAAAAATCGGGGGACGGCAAAATTTTTTGTAGAGGTGTTTTTTTTCATTTATGTAATGCAGGTATGTTCTAAATATGAAACAAATCGGACCATAAATACGGATTTTGCAAATAGCTCCACTGCTGCGCCGCCTATCGGGCAAAATTTGTGGAGTTATTGCTTTTCATGTAAGTAATACACATTCCAAATATGAATCACATCGGACCATAAATACGGGACTTTCAAATATCTTGACACTTGCGCCACCTAGCGGATTAGTTCATCTTTCATACTGCATTGTCATCAGGTTCTGAGCTAAGTTTACAGTTTTAAGCATCTAGCTCATTGGGAAGTTGAGTAAAAAAATAGATTGCGAGATTTGATTACACACAGGTGAAACTTAATAAAAGCTTGTAAGCTTGCAAGGACCGAGAACAAAAGGTATGATCGAAACTAAATGTCGTTCTCGTGGTTTCATTCCCAAGAACTCTTAAAAACCCAAACCGAAATGAAAACCAAACTTTAAGGGGTGTTTCAACAAGAACGAAAATCAGAACAAAACTGTCGAGAACATTCTCAACGAGAATTATATAAGAGTTAAACCCTGTGGAACGTTCTCAAAGAGAACGAAATGCGAACATTATTTTCGGAAACATTTTTAAGAGAACTAAATGGGAACAAAAGTCTAAGGAACTTCCTAACTGAGAACAAATCTTCTATGAGCTTTTCGAGAAGAATAGAAGCGAGTACAAAATATTTCTCATAGCGTTCCATTCGTTTGAAATGTTTGAATATTAAAATTATTCAAAAAAGAACTTTAAGATATTTATGCAAATTAAGTCCACGAAAGACTTAAGACACGAACTTTGTTTTTGCACAGTTGCCGAAGAATGCCTCGTATGTAGTATGTATGTATAAAGTTTTGCGAATGTACTTATTTCATATATTTATGTATGTACTTACATACATACATATGTATATGTAAGCACAATTGTGTCTGTTTTGATATTCGCAAAACTTTTAAAGTTTAACTTTAGCAAGCGTAAATATTCAGTTAATACCTGAAAAGGCATTGTCAAGGTCATTGAATTTCAACTTGACACGAGAGCGATAGCCACTTGTATGTTTGTATGCAGACCCGTTCAAATAAATGTGGGCATTTTTCAATTTACAACAAATTAATCAAGTTTCCTTTTTCTTCATAAGATACGACTATTTCATTGGGACAACAACAAGATCAGCTTGATGTGCAAACGTACTCAGTTGCATATTTATAGCAGAAATGTATGTGCATGAGGGTGGTCCAAAATAAGTAAAGTCGGAATTTTTATGCTGGGATTGTTCTATGCCGAAAAAATATACCCCTATTTTTTATTTTGAATTCAAAAAATATTTAGAGGTCACTTAAAGCGCTCAAAGTGTTCCATGTATTTTATATGAGAAAAAACCACTTTTCGTAGAAATGGTATAGAACTCTTGAAAATCAATATTTTTCGATTGGAAAACTCTGGTTATCTTCAAGAGACTACCAGTAACAATACCCAATTGTTGTTTAACCATTTTCTGATACTAAAGATTTTTTATTAATCCCCCATTGCATTTTCTGGGGGTTTGGCGGACCTACAAAATACAGTTACTATGAAAAACTGGTTAAATAAATAAATGCGTATTATTGGGAATCTCCTGACGAGAAACAGAGTTTTCCGATCGAATAATATTGATTTTCAATAATTCTATACCATTTCTACGAAAAGTGTTTTTTTCTCATATAAAATACATGGACAACTTTGAGCGCTTTAAGCGACCTCTAAATATTTTTTGAATTCAAGTTAAAAAATAGGGGTATATTTTTTCGGTATAGAACAATCCTAGCATAAAAATTCCGACTTTACTTTTTCACATGCATATTTAGATCACCCTAATTTACATACATATGTATGTACATACATACATTTACATAGCTATGCATTTCTATTTTCTCAGGTACTGGAAGATTCACATACATATTTAAACATACATACATATGTGCATATATAAATAAAGATGTAATTAATTATGTATGTACATTGTTTAGGTTATGAAAAAATATTGTATCAATATATTTAGAAATTTTAAAATAAGTAACCATTGAGTTAATTAAATTATTTTTAATACCGGTTTTCGTATTTTTAGTTTCGCTCAAGTTTTTCTTTTTCGGTTTATTGCTAATTGGTATTTGTTTCCATCCTTGCCAATTTTAATTGTAGCTTTGGAAATATAAAAATATGGCGAAATATTTAGTTGTTAAAAGCTTGCAACTAACTTGAGTCTTTTAGTTCCATATATATGTATGTATATCCAAAGCACTATCTTCTGTAGACAACACTGTTTTTTAAAGAATATTATATTTGAGGATAAATAAATAATGCTTCGGTTGATACTAATTTGCAATTAGTTTTGTCAACTCGTTGGCGTAATGAATCAGGTAAATAACAGTTTATTATTTTTTAAAAAATCTGGGGTTGGTTCAAATAAAAATTTAGTCAAATATTTCTGTGCTTACTGAAGTGTTTATTTTCTTACTGTAATTAAGATAAATATTTAAAACAAAAAATACAAGGAGATATTAATGCAAATTATGCAAGACATTGCATCCTGTTTCCTGAAAAGAAACAATAAAACAAAATTTATGTGTAATTACCAGCTGTTCATGAAAATGAATGACATCTTGTATACCGCTTGCCATTCCTTGAGATGATCAGTCGGCAACAAACATGGTCCCAAACACGTTTACATAGTAAATGGAGGGTCGTATGGCAAATCCATTGATGAACTAATCGCGCAGAATCGTGGGAAACTATGGTAAATATCTGGTGGTAGTGCCGGTTTACGCATTTGCTTCCTTCTCGTTGGATACATACTTTTAGGCTACAAATATGTACATATGTAACATGAATTCTATATCCATTGAGAAACGCTCGATTGGCTTGAAAATCTAAAAATTGTAATTTTACCAATATTTCTCGCGCACTATAGGTATATGTATAATAACTCACGATGATAGCAAAGGTGAAACTGAATTAATCACAATTTTGCGCATAGCATTATCATCCCTAAATTAGTGCGTTGAACGTTTCACTTGTATGCTCATCTCCCTCTAGCTCATAAAATTTTTAAATGCCAAAAGAAGGCAGGTTGTCAGGCACGTGCCCCGAAGCATGATAAAAACATAGCAAGGTATAACCGTTCTCTCAATTTGTCGGCCATGATTTTTTTTTTGAAGTTTGCCAACATTTTAAAATCATATAAAAGTGAAAATAAAAAAATGAAATTGTTCGAAATTGTTGTTGCTTGAGATTGAAAATGAAAATGTGTGTGTGAGTTTGTGAGTAAATTTAAAAATTAAATTGTTTGGAAACGTCAAGAATTATAAAAGTGACTCTCAGCGGTTCTACCTTACTATATTTTTATCATGCCCCGAAGTGCTTATGTAGGGATGGCTCTCATGCATGAATATTTTCCGCTCTTAAAGAAACGCATTTGCCTTATATCCTGTTTTGTGTATGTACATATATATACTTACATACATACAGTATTGGCCAATACAATAGTACCCCGATTTCAAAATGATATTGCTTGCCACTCATGATTATTTATTTGTTTTTAAGAATTTCAATTAAAACAAAGTTCGTTTCTAACAAAGCCCATCTACTAAGCCCAAGTTTAAAACTTTGTAAAATACTAAAAAAAATTCAACAAATTTTCACCCAAATTTCAACCTTTTTTCTGAGAAGTGTTAGAATTTTTTGATCACACCACGGTTCGCCGGAACGATGTTATTTTGAAATTGTCGAGTACTTCCGATTATCTTTTTCTAAATGGTAGTTTGAGATGCTGAAAACTCAGAGAAATTGTATTTTAAATCGTAAACACATGCCCTACCCTTCAAAACATCAAAAAACTAGTAAAGCTCGAAAAAATAAGCTTTTACCCAGGCATAACAAGGTAGAAGTGATTTCGACATTTCTCTCTTTTGAACCGCGATTGAAATGTCAACTCTTAACCCTATGCTATTCAAAATTTTAATTTTTTAATTTAAATTTTCAATTGTGAACTGTGCGACTAATTTTAAATACATAATAAAACTAAAAGGAATAACGGGCGGTGTGTTGTGTTTGGCAAAAGCTAGGACAACAAACTTGTGTGCTATTTTAAACCTCCTAATTGTCAAGTGAAGCGACAACGATGGGCAAATTGCTGCGATGTTTCATTAGGAGACTTTACGTGTACGCGAAAACCATTTTAGTGCCAGTGATTATTTGTTGCCCATCGCAGCCGAGTATTCCTAAGCGCACGCGTTTGTTCCCAGGTGCAGGATTTATCATATCGAATATGAACAGAAAATCTCCCACTCATATATCTACATGGATAGACCAAATTTCAAATGGTGGTCTAATAAACCTAAACCAGAATTCCTTGCTGACATAAAGAAACTGGAAGTAATTTTTAATAAATTTAATGGAAAGGAAATTTCGAATTGCAAAAATTTAATAGCTAAATTATTGAAGTGAAGTTCTGATGTAAATTTAGAAGAATCAAACTTTTTTTTTAATGTCTAATGTACTTCAAAATTCAGTATTTGAATCATGATAAAAATATAGTAAGGTAGAACCGCTGAGAGTCACTTTTAAAATTCTTGACGTTTCCAAACAATTTAATTTTTAAATTTACTCACAAACTCACACACACATTTTCATTTTTAATCTCAAGCAACAACAATTTCGAACAATTTCAATTTTTTATTTTCACTTTTATATGATTTTAAAATGTTGGCAAACTTCAAAAAAAAATCATGGCCGACAAATTGAGAGAACGGTTCTACATTGCTATGTTTTTATCATGATTTGAATAAAAAAAATAAATGCTCAAAAACAAGAAAATTGCCAAAACGATTTTATAAATGAGTGTGTTTCATTTAGTGTGTAATTTTGTGTAAGTATGCAGTTCCATATTTACATTAAAACGAAAATGCAATAACTCAAATGAAGCTGATTCTAATGAGAATTTAAATATTTACAAAAACTTTCAATTCAAAGATACTGAGTGTTATCAAACATGGTAAATGCATAAAAAAGGGTTAACTTCTTTGTTTAAATTTTTTGACATTATAGTCGACTGAAATGTCACTTCTACCTTGTTGAATATGCCTTGACTGGCTAACCAGAATGTAGTACCACAGCCACAAGCTATTTCACTAGTTACATCAGCAATAATACACCACAACCACAGTTACATATTGTGGGCAGATAAGACCATTTAGAATATTTTAACTTTTGACAGCTCTTGCTACATACCACAGCCTCACCAATTTTTTACTTATATGCAATTGCAGCCACCTTATATGAGGTTTGTTCCACACGCTTTCCGGGCCGTTTCGGTAATTAGAGCGTAAAAATAAGTTATTCTCTCATAAGTGTCAAAAATGTGTCAACCCGTTCTAAAAGTGCCCAGAGCGCGAGGAACGCAAAAAAAACACTTTTCGTGACCGGAATCACTAAATAAGTTCTAAAAAATAGTTGCGTTTGTTTACTCATTTCCAGTAAAATCCTGTAAAAGGTTTTACGAAATTTCCTGTTTTGGCGTTTTCGTACGCAAAAACTTGCAAAGTAGGGGAAATTGAGAGAGCGAAAAATGACAGTTGAAGTTGCAAGTTTTTACTGGATTTTACTGGATAAATTTTTACTTGTAAGAGTTTGCCAGTACGAAAAACAGCTGATCGCATATTGCTGGATGAAATTTAAACTAATGAGGAAACTGTTTGTGGGTTTTTATTGTTGCATTTCACAAAATAAACCTACTTAAATATAAAATATATTGTTTTATTAGGAATTTGCTGCGAATAAACCACCAATTTATCAGCTGATCATCATGAAACTTACAAATTATTACTGGAATAGCGTTCGCGTACTTTTTTGCAAATTTTTTCTACGAGAGCGGATTCTTAGAAAAAAAGTTACTGCAGAGTTGCTGGCAAGTTACTGGATAATTTGTAAACAAACACAACTTATGATTTTATGTGTATTTATTTTACATAGCTAATAAAATTAGCAAATACCTACGTTTCAGGACCTTTAGTGCTATTTTCCATTTTTGTATTTTACAAATTTGATATCGGATGTAAACAAACAACAGCTGTCATTTCAAATTGACTTCTTGCGCTTTTCTGGCCGGTAAAAAATTCCGGGATGTTTCGGGGCAAGAAGAAGAAGACATTTACGATCCAGTTTTCTAGCGTGAGGAACGCTTTCTGGGCTGTTTTGGGCACCCGCGGGCTCGTGTGGAACAAACCTAGTGTATATCTCAGTAATCGGGTTCTTCCGGTGATTTCCGTTCGGAGAAGAAACAATGCAATGAACGCACATTCATAGCTTTTGATACGATCGGAAGTTCTATAAACATAACGCAGTTGAAAAGTGATGAATTTATAATGCATTTTATATCTACATGTTAAAGAGTGCATTGAATTAATGAGGATGTGGTGCCAAGTTTTGAGTAACAATTAGTCACTTATAAATACATACATACATCTTGCATTTTCAATGATTTGTGAGCATTGAAATTAAGTTTACACACTTTGTATGTACATATGTATTTACGTACATATGTAGATTTGCCTCAAACTCGGCAAATGCTCAGAGAATAAAGACAAGAAAAAAATTAGTATGCAAATGACAATGACATTAAGGACGGACGTTTGCACAGAAACGTAAGCTTCATACACATATGTACGTATGTATGTTTGATATAGTATATCCAATCTTACAGCTATAGAAATGATATTGTTTTCAACATATTTTATTTACAATATATATAGGTAACTCAATCAATGTATAACAGAAACCACATAAATAAAAGTTGCAAAGTTTGTACAAATTTTACAATTATTAATCAAACTTCAAAAAAATGGCCATCGAAATTTCAAACTTTTTAATCAGAATTTTGATAAAGTTTTCGAGTTTGCAGTTTTGTAGCCAATTCAATTTTAGTCCAATAAATTGCAAGTTTCAAGTAGCTAAAAATTACCGTTGATTTTTGAAGATTTTATTGTCGAGCATGTTGCACATTTTCTTCCAAAATAAATTTTGTTCATATGTACGTTGCATGGAAGCCAAAAAAAAACATTTTTTTTAATTAATTTTTGTAATTTTTAGCTATTTGGAACTTGGGCTTGCACTTTGGGCTACAAACCTGCATAGCCGAAATTTTTCTATAAATTCTGATTAAAAAGTTTGAAATTTTAATGACAATTTTTTGAAGTTTAATTAATTTATGTGAAATTCGTGCTATCTTCAACATCTTCTTTTCGATGCAAAAATGCATCGAGATGCTCTAGGCCATCGGTTCTCAACCGGAAAGAGGAAACATAAAAATAAGAACATATTCATTCAATCCTGACATTGAGGTGTGAGTTCAATTAAAACAGTCCCGAAAATCTCATTAATATTAGGGGTCGTCCATTAAACGCGTTAAAGCCTCGTATACCTCGTAAAGCTCCTAAATTTACGAGCCTCGTAAAAGAAACTTTCAAAATTTGTATGGAGATCTATTTACAAGCCCCACGTAAAATTACGAGGCAAATTTGATGCGCAAACGGCCTCGTAAACTTCAGTGTTGCCGAGGGGCCACAATTTTTATACAAAAATGTATGATAAAATAATCAAAATAAATGAAAAAAATAAATAAGCGAAAAAATTAATAAATGTCATCCACTAAAAATATTGACTTAATCCCCTAATTGTATATATCCGTAGCGTTCTCGGAAACTAACGATTTTGACGAAATTTTTTACACAGATAATACTTTGAATTTTAAGGTTATCTGAATAGGCACTATCTCCGAGGAGACTCGTATAAGGTTGCCACCTATTCGAAATCAGTTACAAATTAATTAAAACATCATAATATGGGTATCTTTTAAATGGAAGCCACTTAAAGATCCCTATTTCAAAAATTCTTGCAATAGGGTACCCACCTATTTTGAATCGCATATTTAGAAAATACATTTTGTTTAGAAAAATAGGTGAAATATTACTATTCATGG